GCAGCATAAATCCTCCTCGAAGATCCTCTCGCCTTTCTGTAAAAGAAGCAGCTGCCATTACTGGGTAGGTATGATCAGAAAGTGTATCAATGTGAAGGTTAGTCCAAAAAGGTCAGGCCAAACCTAGTCTCTCCAAACCGAGGTCTCCACACTAGATTTAGCTAGTGTGAGTTAAATATCAGGGCCCTTGAGGATGGGAATTCTCAAAACTTCTCCAATGCTTTCTAATTCATAACATGGTTTGAGAGACCCTATGAGGACAGGGAATACCTGGCCCAGCATCTAACTACACCCGGGACCACTGAATAAACATGTATTTCACACATACCTCAATCTTCCCTCTGCCTGCCTCCAACTAGATTACTTCCAACTCTGCTCTCTGCCATGAACTCCAAGCCACTAAAGTTCTCCCAACTATTACACACTATACTTTATCAACACTGCTCAAATCCAACAAGGCCCCTTCTTTGTGGATTAAATACAAAGTGATCAAGCCAGACATGCTATGGGCACAGTGGTGGCAGCTGCTATCTAGATGAATTACTAAGTCTCTATGCAACCCAGCCTAACTGTAGTTTCTTGGCTATCTGTATTCATCGTCATATCCTTTGCTTGCTATGGGTCTTTGAAATGGCTCCCCAACCCAGTAGTGAGATAGTGCAGGATGCAGTGAAAGCTGCTTGGTTCCCAACTGGATAGGCTTGACTGCAAAGAGGAATAGTCCTACGATAGTACATTACAGAGCAGCCGTGGCAGAGCTTCTTGGCCAACAGGAAGTGAACACAACAGACTGTGACTGCCATTCCAGTGGGTAGAAGACACACTTCTTTTAGCAGTTGTCTTCTGCAGTGGCAAATGGTTATTCAAAGTAGTCTGGATCATGAAACAAACATTGGAAAAGAGATTCTCAAATAGGGAAGGGACCCATACTAGTTTCCAAGGTGCCTTCTGACCCAATGATGAGGACTCAGGTGGGCAAACAACACAGGCCTTGTAATCAGGAGGAAAGGATGGAAATCTGTGTAAGATACTATAGGAACAAGCCCGAGGCTGCCCTAGTTCCTAATAGAAGACTTTTTTGTCTTCTCCAAGCTGCAGTTCACCAACTTTATACAACTATCTAAGCTAAGGAATCTGTTTAAATGCTGTTTGTTCTCCCCTCAGGCTAAAGAGTCAAGTGAATCATTACCATTCTGTTAAATGAACTAGTTAATATAATTTAAAATGCTATTTCAGAAGTACTATAAACCACAGAGATTTGAGTATCACTCTGTCCAGGAAGGTGAACTTTGCCGAAACATTAATAACAAGCGCTTCTTGAAAGTTCAAGGGCAAGGACCTTCCTGGAAGTAATATTGGTAGACAAGAAAATTTGTCCTTATGGCAGTACCTCTTATCAGTCTGGAGAATCCAAATGAGATCTAGCAAACAGAAGTAAGTGCAAGAAAAGTACAAAAAGACTCCAAAGTTTCTTCTGAAGAAAGCAATGTGTTGTATGGAGACTCAAACTGGGTCAGGTACAGATCATGAAAAGTGTCTAGCCAAGAGCCATTTGCCATACACTTCAGCCATAAAATGTACATGAAGACTCTACTTTGGGAACTTAGAAATTGGTTTGAACCAAGTGCATCTGAAAAGTCCCCAAGGGTCACTGGCATTTCTTGAACGCTACCTAGGAAGTTACTTGTAGGACCTTGAGTTTCTTAGAACAGGACTTGCAGGCTGTTTCAGCACAAGATCATCACTTAACAATGGGTCTGAGACCCCTTTCTTGCTCAAGGACTTCATTTCAAACATTTTTCATACGGTTTATGAGGGTAAGAGATCCACTTGTGGAAGATCCTTCTGGCCACACAGTGACCAACAACCCATAAGCAGCTAGTAGTGTCTAGATCCACGGTCATGTACAACACTGCTTCAGGGCCAAGAGAGACTAGCTGATACAGCAGTGACTTCTTTAACTTTGTAAAAAGGTAGTGTGACATCTTTACCAAGCTACAATAAATACCCCAATCACTCATTTATTCAATGACTATTTATTGAGCACTTCCTTTGTGCCTGACTCTGTGATGAAGATAACACCAGTGAACAATACAAATGTGATCACTGCCTTCACAGATCTTATACTCCAATGGATGCTACTCTCTAGAGGTAGCAGATAGTGTAGCCAGGAGAGTTTAAACGGAAGACTATAAGAAGAGTATCAGCTAGCACAAAATGTAGTACGCCTAAAAATCACCTAAAGAACTTGTTAAAATAAAGATTCTGGATCTACCCTGGGGGGTCTAAGTGTATAGGCCTGAGGTGGTATCTAAGGTGGTATATGAGAATTTGCATTTCTAACACACTCCCAGGTGATCCCAATACAGTCCATCGGTGGACCACTCTGTCCATCAGTGGACCACTCTCTGAGAAGCACTAAGCTAGAGGAAGTACAAGGCTTTCCTGCTCAAAACTATCCAACTAGATATTCCGCCAGTTAGAAATGCATTCTTAATATCTGATATTTACTTTAGGCAGTCAACAGAATGATATCTGAAGCCTCCTAGGAAAAGATTATGATGAAGGAAGGTTCTGGATAGAGAGTCAAATTGGCTAGGGATTGTATGCTCCCCCTCCCATCACATATGCTGGAAACAAGACAGGGAGAGCAAAGACAAAGTGCCTTCTCTGAATTGTGCTTCAGGTCTTGGTAGCAGCTACGTAAGATTATTAGAGCCACTCTGGAAGGCTGCATATCTAAGCTTCCCTCAACATGGCCAAGTCTGGCTTCTCCAAATTAGCCTGACATCCTTCCATCAACTCCACTGGAGAGAAGACAGGAAAAAGAAAGAATGGAAGAGATGTAAAATGGAGTTGTAAGTCAAAAGTCAGAGATGATAAAATACAACTGTCCTTAGCAGAGGTTGTAATAAAATGACATCCAAGTTCTTCATTGTACTTTGCAATATGTTTGAACAGTATTCATTTCAGTTACATTTGCTCCGACTAATTTTCCAGTCTACTTCTGACAGGCACATTATGGTCTGGCCCCATCAAATAGGAATGCTTTGAGTAAGTGAACACCTACCTCTGTACTTTGACAGTTTGGTTTCTTTCTTGCCTTTCTTAGGTTTAAATACAATCTTCTAAGATGTGACTTTGTGGTGAATTCAAACTAATCTGATGTTTGGGGAAATTTCCAAGTTCAGTATCAATCTAGGTTAGAAGAATACTTTCCCCCATGTACTAACAAGAATTTTATATATTACAGGCATATCTCAGATATTGCAGGTTCAGTTCCAGACCACTGCAATAAAGCAAGTCGTAATCTTTTTGCTAGTGGAGGATCTTTCCTTCAATTAGTAAAAACACAACATGTCTGAAATACAATAAAGTGCAATAAATCAAGATAAGCCTGTATTACATATTACTAATTCTATTATTTTACTTGTAAAATGAAGTTGCTTTTATTCCTTCTGTTGAATGTGTCAATAAGGCACTGAGGTAACAAAGTGTGAAATTAAGGACACCTCAGCCAAGACTCCCAATCTTAGAGTAAATCAAGTCTTTTTCTAAAGTGCTATAGTGCTTAAAAAAATACTATAGTGCTTCTATCACACCATTTAATCCTTAACTGCCTTGACAGTTCCCTCAAGACTGAGTTTTACTTTTCCCTAATCATCTGTAGAATTCTGTCTCTCCAATTAGCGACTAAGTTCTTTAATGAGAACTTAGCAATGCCCCCATCTCATTCTCTCTGGACTCCTCCTAAAGCACAACAGGAGTAGTGCTAAGCACTGAATAATGCACACTGGGCCCTTTTTTCATTTAAATTGAAATCCAACTGTTCTGCTGCATTCTGAGTGTCAAAGACTAAATTTTCTTGCTGAAATTCACCCATCAAAGGTGGTAGGAGGGGGCAGAGATGAACTTTTTTTTTTTAAGTTTCTCCAAATAGACGTGGCTATGATGATTTGTTCCTTCAATGTCACTTGGAGTAGAGGCTCATTCTCTGCTTTGCCATCATGTAATGATTAAAATAGCCAACATTTCTTTCAGAGGTAGCTATAGTGACTCCCCACTAAAGCACACAGGTGTAAGATACACATTGGCACCTTCATCTGGCCTGAGGGTTTAGTAACCATCTTCTGCTATGCCCCTTTTTCCTGATAGTTTCTTCTAAAATTAAAAGGAGTCTTATTTTCACCATTTTGGCAGAGCCTTCTGAGCAGAAGCCTTTCAGAATTTAAGTAGTATAGCTTTTATCTGTTCTGAATATATACTTTGTTCCAAATCTCCCCAAATGTGAGAAATTAATCATATCTGGATAGATTCTTCATAACTATATGAAGTGGAGGTTCTGAGAATTATTTAATTGTGTGCTCATTCCCATTTATCAAATGAGTTTATGAATAAGAGGAATTATTTGATAACTGTATATCCTCACAAAAACACTCAAAAGTCTTCTCAGAAGCTAATCAGTGTTTTTCAAAATACTACCTCAAAACTTTAAGAATACTTCAGAAAAGTTTGTCAGAAAAACAGATCATGTTATCTTCCTCTATTCTGCTTCCAGATTTTTAGCATTCAAATGACCAAAAGAAATGCTGGTACAAACAGGCAGAAAGTAAACCAAAAAAAAAAAGACCAATGATAATGACTAAGAATTCTTCTACTGTTGCACACCCCCTCCCTCAAAAAAGAGGCTCTTGCTGCCAAACAACAGAGCCAATTAAAAAAAACAAGACAGTAGAGGCAGTCAGTATCTAAATTCCAAGCAAAGCAGCCGTCTTTCCTATCTGACACCTCCTCCTGAGAACATCTCCTCTGCAAACCCAGTTATCCAGCTGTTTTATGTGACTAGCACCAGCAACTCTCTAAGTTGGGAATGCTTGCAGGAGAAATTGGCCTCCAGCAAGATCTCTCTTTGGCTGCAGGTACAACAAACCTTGTCATCTGGTAACTTCAACGAGTAAAATCACTGGTAGAGCTGGTCATTACACTCCCCTCTACTGTACTCCATCATCCCCATAAATCTCCTAGTGGTTATTTAAATAGATCTATAAATCTGGGGACCCTATGTTAGTTTCTTTACACCAATATTCTTGGTTTCTGTTACACGCCTAACCAGGGCTGCCTTATTTTGTTACCTAGGACCAAGAGCAATTGTGCCATCTCCCCAGGCTCCAGAAACCCGTTATTTCCCACTCATTATAGACATAGCAATAAATGCATTAAAAGGAACTGGACATAGAAGAAAGGGCTGACATACATCTTACCTGCATAAATATCTATTCTGGTAGCATCAGCATCTCTGCAAAATTAAACGAAAAAAAAATCAAGATCCGAATGAGAATATTAAGTATCGACTATCAAAATGCATAGTATTTTGAGTGGGAAGGATACTATTTTGAGTCTATTTTCAGGAAGTCATACAGAAATTCTGTAGACATTAAAGTTATATTTTACACTTGACAACATAATTTTTCTTATATGTCTGTGAAAAACTTCTGGAGCTGGAGTTCCAAATTATTAAAAATAATCATATGACATACATATTTTTAAATACAAATATCATAGTGAAACCACCTACAAGTAAAAATATCCCCTTTAGGCACTAAGAAATGACTCGAATCTGTGTTTCTCTCAATTGATCGCAATCATAAAAAATGTTCCAGTAACTTGCCCATTTTTCCTACTCACCAAGCTATTGGGAAAAAAAAGAAAAAATTAACCTGCTACAAAGCATATGAAAAATAAAGTCTCATGGTATACACAACACAATCAGCAGACTGATTCATGAGCCCATAATCTTGTCCTCCCTAACCCTGAAAGGAAGTTGAGGCACCCCATGAGACTCCAGCCATCAGCTGAAATATAAGTTCAGTCAATAACAAAGGCTTCCATAAAGGTTTGGAAGTAATCTAGTCCAATTTTGCCAAGTACAAGGAAGGAAAATAAGGCACAATGAGTTTCACTGGTTTTAAATGAAAAAAAAAAAAAAAATCCACTCAAATCCATATAGCTCTACATATACCTATTTTCAAAGACATAAAAAAAAAAAAAAAACACTTTCAAATATGAGATTGGCAAAATGTGTGTATAAGCAGGAACACATACTCCCAGAAATCTCCAACTCACTATACGATATACAAAAAAGCAGTCTGCCACAGCACGTCATGGTCTCAGTAAGCTAACAAGTGGTAAATTCATAGTTCCATTAAGCTACATTTTAAAATCGAATATAAAAATTATGAGTCAACCAGGATTGAAAAAAATGGGTTTTCTGGTTAAATAACTTGTTAACCAGCACATTTCCATGAATAGTCCAGTGAATAATAATAAAAATAGTAATAAATTTATAGTATAGACATAGGTATACATAGAAAATTATCAACAACCTCATTAGCTGGGGGTCTGTTTAGAAAGTATTTCTGTCAATTCTAACATTCTTCTTCCTTTATTAGTCATCGACACTTGGCCAATAATGTCTAAATTTTGTTTGCATTCAGAAATAAGACAGTCAATATTTTCACAATTGTAAACAGAATCTTGATTTGCACTTTGCTATTTGCTTATCTCTGAACTAACCTAAACTTCTTTTCAGTCTTGCACTATACTATTTATAGGTTTCCATCTCTAAGAACTTATTATAACATTTGATTTCTTCCAACCATAGCTGTTAACAGTGGAAAACACTTTGATCACCTGGAATCATCTGACCATTAAATATACACTCTGGGAAAACACAGAACTCTTGAATAATTTTAAAAACATTAGACAGTGCACTCTCCTGGTAGCAAAAATTAAATCAGAGCTTGTCTGTCCCATTAATTTGACTCTTAAGTTTCTATCTTAATTCCCTGCATTTCACTACAATTATCTTGCTCTAATACACGAGGGAAGGTCAACTTGGAGGTTATAAGTTCATTATTTTTAGAGCAATGAATGAATTAAAGTTAATCGAAGACAGTGGAAATACAAACTAATATGCTATTAAAAATACTTTTTTGGGGTATGAAGCCTCCTAGGAATGAGCTATAGCTATTACAAAATTGCCTTCCTCCCAAGTCTTTAGGAAGCAAAGGTCATAACGACCCAAAAAGTTTTCAAGTACAAACTGTATGCCTGAAGACAACATACCTTGCATTATCAACCAGTTCTGCAAGAGCACCAAACAAGAATTCATGAGTAGTTCTGAAATGATAAATACTAAGAGTCAGCAAAAGAATTATGGAATTGAACTATAACTCCTAATAAAAAGTCAAGGTTATAGAATACACAACGCAATATATATATGTATGTATATATATGTATACATGTATATGTACATATATGTATATGTATGTATGTGTGTGTATACATATAAATACACACACACACATATGCCTTACTGATAAACTGTATACCTGAAACTTTCTAGATTTCATTAATCAATGTAACCATAATAAAAAAATAAACTAAAAAAAAGTCAAAGTTATAAACTATTGTTTTTTAAAAAAATCTAAAATCACTATTTGCATAGCTGATTTACACTATTGAACTTTAAACTTCTTCATCATTAACTCACTAATCCCTCTCAAGTATTAATCTATCAAATCTTGCTATCTACAGGGAAATATTTATCTTTACTATCTTGAGTAGAGAAACCCATTCTAAAGCATTAAAAGATTCCTATGTGTACTATTGCTAAAACAGTATTTTTTACTACTCATATTCCGTCCAGAAAAAAGTCTGTATTGTATTTTTCATTGCCTTAAACAGCTGTCAGTTGCTGCATACTCAATGGACTTATAAGCATTTTGCTTTACCAATACCTGTGTATGGTCTGGTGAAAGAAGAAAACCCATTCACTTTTGTGCAACCTATAAGCAAAAATATTCCATTTGAAAGTGGGGAGAAAGGAGAGAATAATTCATTTCTTGACTTTCTCTGATTCTGGCTAAAAACAACTTTCTCCACAATGAAGAAAGGAATCCAAGACCCTCTAGAACAATTCTTCCTAGGAAGACAAGAGCATGGCATGATCTCCTATGGCCTCTGTTAAAGTTAACCCAATGGTCATTTCTTCCTCCAAGAGGCTGCTAAAAGTTTGAGTTGGGTAAATTCACAATTACCATGTTATTCAAAACTCAACAAAGATGACATTTATGCATAAGATTAGCCTTCCTTCATTTACACTCTTTAATTTGTGCTACTTCCCATAATAATCCTAATTAGATATAAAAGTAAGATGTGTCCACCTAGAAACCTTGACTTTTGATTAAAGAAAATATAAAATCATTAACCCATATAATGCATTACCATCAAGTTTTCAAAACTAACCAAATAATTACAGCTGATTTTTCTGTACAAAGTTTCAGCCAATAAACTGAAATTTTCTAAAAATTTAGAATGAAATATACCAATATTAAATAACCAAAATCTAGGATTTCTGATCACCTATATTGTTTAAAACAAACTAAAATGTTTGTTTATAGAATACCCAAAATTGAACTGTCCAGAAACACCGGGTTTTCCTCAAATAAATATTCAAATTTTTACAAATGCAAATTTTGAATTAAACTACCAGTTATTGGAATTTTATAAAGAACTTTTCCCCATGAGATCAGTGAATATATGTTGTTAATCCAAAGGTGGCATCAATAAATAAATTTCAACAAAAAATAGAAAATTTATCTCCAATTTGACTAGGAAATAGAGCTCAAATTCTTTTGGCCAAAATCCAGTTCTTGATCATTTTACAGGAAAAAAAAAATTTCTAAAAGAAAAATCTGCATAAAACATCCATATTTTTAATTATTAAAAATATTTAAGTCTCTAGAATATTAAATTCTTCAATTATAAATTGAAATACAAAAGTATTCTGTAGATTACACCACTAAAAACAGAGAAATAAGATAGAAAATTAAAGTGATTTGCTGAAAGTAATATATTAAAAATAAATCTAACACTTGCTCTCAAGCTTTCGATTAGTCATTTTGCAGACTTAGAAGTGACTTAGAAACTTCCAAAGTGAACCAGTTATCTATACTCTAATTTTTTAAAAATTTTGAAAACTGTTAAATACAAATATAAATTCTGTTGCACTTCTCATTTCAATAAACATTTGTACTTAAGTGAAGGAATCTTGGAAATACAGGTCCGGGGGCAGGGGGCAGAACACAACCATAATAAAAATGAGATGCAACTTGCATGCAGAATCTTTAGAATAAGTTAATTAAAGAATGAAGTATCTAATCTCTGGTAGTAAGAATGGTAAATATGAATAATCTGGAAAATTCTGATATCCTTTGTCATCAGGGTAAAGAAATTAAAAAATAGAAATAGCAATTGCTTCTCAGAAATACATATTCCTGATTGGTTCATACGAAAATGAGAGACATTTAGAATTCAACAGAAAGATTTCAAAAGGGTAAGCACAAAGCACCTCTGCCTAAGTTTTCACTACTTTCTATAAAATGTTTGGAAATGTGCCTTGTACATTTAGAATTTCAAGAAAACCATCCAAATGGTCTTCCTTGTTCCACACAGTATCGATGCTGTTCCACACACACTTATTTCAAGTAAGTTAACATATCTTTAAAATGTAACTAAAGAGTACTTTGGTGATGTGTAGTAAAACATCATAAAAGGGGCCTTTTGTGACAACTGTTGATGAGGTCAGAGACAACACTCAGAATGTTCTCCAGACCTCCAAATGATTAATAGGGATCCAACTAACAAATGCTAAAGTCAAGAGTGCTAAATACCTCTTAAAATAAGAACCAAAAATATACAAACTGCATAAGTTCTCTCTCTTTTTCAAATAATATTCAAAGAGGTATACTCATTTCTAGCTAGTATTTGAAAAGAGATATCTGAATAATTATCAAAAGAAATTCTTTTCTTCACAGACCTAAAGACTGCTTGCATGTTATCCAAAAAGATCAACCATTTGGAAAAGGACAGATTTTTTAACAAACTCTCACTTTCAACTGATAGAGGCTTTTATACCATTTGTGCCATAGTCAAAATAGTTCTGCAGCATTTCCAATAACAAATTCACTTGTAAGTCTATCCGTTATGTAAGGAAAATGGTCTCCCTATTCATATTCAGCTTGAATTTAAACCAGCTGAGTTCTCAGATATGTTCACAATAGTTAAATGCCTTAATTGCTAGAAAATAAAGCTGAGAAATTCTAGAGCAACCATTTTGTATTCAAATGGCTTTAATATATTTAGAGTGTGAACCTACATTTCAACGGAATTATAAGTCATAAGAACTATTGTCTCTAGAGTTGACACGTTCCTCTATATTCACTTCAAATATAGGTGAAACCCAAAAATATCACATGGCCAAAATAAGAAGTTATTAAATGTGCCCAAAGGAACAGACATAGAAAGCAGACATCTTACACTTAAGCATTCTGCTCTATCAGACCACTTAGCAGTACTGCAAACAGAGTAACTTAAGATATGCATCTTATTTACACCAAAGGAACATCACTACCACTACACCTAGATTGCTCATTAACTTTTTACTATCAGTCACAAAACCTGCCACAGAAAAGCAGTAACAGCATAAAACTCCTTTTATTTAAAAACCTTAACTTTTATCATCTTACACTAATAACATCTAGCATTAAAAGAAATCAGCATAAGACCTTCATGTTATCGTGAGAATTTCCCAGGCCTGCTTTAAACCTTAACGCTAATGTTACCAAGAGAATAACCATCAGTAGTTACTGCTAACTTAATACACCCCACAACCCCAAAATTTCAAGACATGTTTACTGTCTCTAACAAACACTCCAGAATTTACTAAGAATTTATCTGCCTAATGACTAGCACCAAACAGCAAATTGCTACCACACTGACTAACTTTTGCTTTACATAAACTAATATTACAAACACAATAATCACCCTCCATTCAACATTTACCATGTACGAGCTAATTACTTTATAAACATTATTTTATGTAATACTCAAAAACACTGTCAAATTAGCACTATTTTATAGATGAAGAAACTGAAACTCAGAGCTAAGTTGACTTGCCCAAAGGCACAACCAGGAAGCAATCAAATCTTGGCAGGCTCTCAAGCCTTTGCTCTTTCCACATCATACTGATTTCCATCTTTCCATCCTTGCAAGTCTACATTAAACAAGAGGTGAGGAAAGTGCCACTTCTTTCATAATTCACAATATGGCCATATTGTAGATGTCAGACACCCTAAAATGACCTTGTTTTTAAAATTAGAACAAAGACAAATTTTCTAAGACAAATTTCCCCTCCTCTGAAGGTGACACTGCACCACTTAACACAGAGGAGATACATCTACCACCATTAAAAGTAATACGTCACATCTTAAGAAATTTTAAAATTGTGTTTCCTCTAGAAATGAACTTCCAATCAGGTCATCTCATTTAAAAAAAATTGAAATTGGTTACAAATCATAAATTTATCTTGGTGTTCTCGGGTTCATATTTCTTCTGGCACAACTGGACATATTCAAAAGTAGACAAAATCAAAAGCGTGATCCAGACATTTCAGAGCTTCCAAAATGATACCTCCAAATGTCCATGCAAGCAGGTGGTTCCAGTTCAACATTGGTAAATCAAATTCACAGAAAATTCTCCAACATCACTTTAAAAAGTGATTTAACTGAGCTCGAATTCTTTGCTTTGCCTCTGTCCACCTGTTAATTAGCTATAAAATAGCATGACAAATAAACAAATATCACAGAATCCTCAAATTAGGGGCTCACTGAGACAAAACTGAAGACTTTTACAGTGAAAAGTAAACCTTTGCTGTATAGACTAGGAAAGAAGCCCTTAAAGGTAAAACTGACTAGATACAAGACTAACACAGGCACCAACCACTGTGGCCAGATAAACCTTATTGCTTTACAGCTGCTACTTAGCAGCTATGTAACCTTTGGCATGTAACTTAATCTCTCTGAGCCTCAGTTTCCTCCAATGCAAAACAGACATAATCCTATGAAGATTAATTTCAACCATGAAGCAATTAATTTACTATTATTTTATAATCGCATAGTCTTTGGGGAAGCAAGAACAAGAATCCAGTTTCTGAAATCCCATTCGTGTTCTTCCAAGATTATCAAACAGTCTACCATTCCAAATTTGGCCCCTCATTCCAAAATTCAGAACTGAGACAACCATTTATCAAGCACAATCATCTGTGAACATCTAAGAGGCCTTCAACTGCTTGTTAATGTGGCAGTTCAAATACAAAGGATACTGAAGGTTTTGCCTAAGGCTATGTTATAAACCGAGTGACCCTGGTCAGCCACCTTACCTAACTGGATTTCGGATTCATCATACATAAGGATTCACCTAGGTAACTACAGAATCTACTCTAGAACATTCTTGTTCAATAATAAGCTTCCTAACCAAAACAAAATAAAAGCAGGCTCTCATACTTTGGCACTTCACTTCAAAAAGTTTTATTTCCTTGATAGGAAAAATAGCAAACAAAAATTACAGAATTATCACAAAGAAGAATCTCGGGTAATTTAGGATTTTGGTTTCATTTCTAAGTCCTTTCCTATAAAAGGCTATAAACATTATACTATTACAATTGAGTAACTTAAATCTATATTCTCAACCCTGAATATGGTTCTTCAAATCTCGTAGGGCATTCATTTGGCTGCTCATCACCTCTCCACGTACAAAAATGTTAGGAAACTTAACCATCATCTCAAAAGTGGCAAACAAATGTATTAAAACTGTAAGTAATCATGCCCCAAATGGATTACTTCCAAGAGAGTGAGCAAAGTTTTAACCCTTAAACATTCCAGACCAACGTGAAGTGATGGTAATCTCTTCATGAACTCAAAAACCATTAACGCCGTACAGGTTCCGAGACTTGCACGCATTTTGGGGAAAGGCTATTTAAATCACGGGTTTAAACAAGTTGCCATTTCCTTCTTAGCATATGAAAATTATATTGGTTGTGAGGACGAATTCCCCAGGAAGATAAAGCCAATTGTTTGCTGAAAAAAATTGCTTCTCGCAAGTTGTCCTTTAAAAGTCTTCATTCTTTTTCTTGTTAGAAAAAATCTGCTATAACCCAACTGTTTTGGCTCGTGTCACTAAAGAGAATCTACTAGAATAGTCCAACTTTTGGCGATCCAAAGAACAGTACTTGTTGGATTCTTATCAAACACTTGAAACAACTTGATATATTGACCTCAAATATCTAGTTTGTGTTTGATCAAAAAAATTCGATCCAGTAAATGGTCATATTCTTCTGGATTAGCAACAAATATTTCACTGATCTCAGTTCTTCCATATAGAGCTCGACTCATCCAGTGATAGTCTCAAAAAAGTGAAAAGGCAAAATTTTCTGGGAAAAGGATTTCCATACTAATATTAAGGAATGAGTGACCAGTGACCACAGTGGCACTTATAGGATACTTACGAATTCGTGTGCAGATATTCAAAGGTTAACTGGGCTCGATTCAGACTGCTGTAATTTGTGAAAGCCATGGGTGCGGTGAGGTCCAGTCCTTTACCTACTAACTAGGAAATATAACCTTACAATAGAAGAGTTTCCAGGACTCCTTTCAGTAAACGTTTGGTAAGTCTGTGCTCCTTATAGTTGAACAAGGTTAATGAATACTTATCCAAAATATATTCAGAAATGTCTAAAACTACAATTGATTTTTCCTTTAAGTATTTATCTTCTTAAAGACTACAATGTAATGTTTCGAAAAGAAATGCGTTGTAAATCTGTAGCCTTAAGGAGCGTTAGCGTTAAGATGCGATAGTTCAATGAGTCGAACGCGGATGATCTTGAAGTAGATAGTACTAGTTCGCGGTTTTATTACTGCTTCATCTTCATTTCCTCCGAGCCCTTTTTTGTTCTTCTATGAAATTTACCAATCCAGAAACTTACCAACCCGGAAATTTAGCAACTTGTCATAAACCTGGCCAACCACTCATGTCTTCGCCACCAATGATCTGGGATCCTTAAACATATCCCAGAATGGCGACCATGATGTCGATGGAGTGCAAATGGCGTTACTTCCGGCTTCGCTTCCTCTCAACTGAAAGATCTCCTAAGCACAACGGCCAATTTGTTTTCAGAGAACAGACCAAAACTAGTTTGCTGCTCCGGCCCAATCTCCCCAGAGTAGTAGGTCAAATTACCTCAATGACTCACAAAAACGTCTCAAATTTAGCTCACCCAAATCGCCTCGTACGGGCCGCACCCTTCCCCCACTTCCCCTAGACAGCGGCCTCAGGCCCTTCCTGGGCCTCGGCCCGAGGCCTCGTCCTCACAGAGAGGAGTTAGTCCCAGCTTTCAAGGCCCAGATCTAGGGCAGTGGCGAACGCACCACCCGACCGGGCGTTGCCCAGCGCTCACAGCGGCTTTTGTCCCTCCCCACGGAATTGGAACCCAACAACCGCAGAGCGCTCTTGGAACCATGTGCTGCCGCCGCCTCCGCCGCCGCCGCTGCCGCCGCCGCCGCCCGCGCGACACCAGCCGCCCGTGCGCCGCTCTGAATGAGATGACGACAGAACTCAGCACCACGAAATTCGGTGCTTAAGGTTGCTCCGCAGCCGCTGCCGCAACCGCCACAGCCACCTCAGCCACCGCTTTGTCTCCGTTAGTGCACACGACCCGAGCCGCCTCGCACACTCCGCGACGCCCCAAGCCCCCGAGGCCTCCGCGGCGCATTCAGCCAATCAGAGAGCCGCAGCTCCTCCCGCCCCCGCCCTGATGTGACGCCTCCTGATTGGTGGGCATTGTGACCCCACGTGACCGGATCTTGTTTAGCCGGGCCCGCCCCTGTCACGTGAGAAAGCTCGCCTCTCTTCCTGCTTTTTGACCCTCTCCGCCATTTAAAGAAACAGTACCGGGGGCGGGCCGAGCGACGCAGCCGGGACGGTAGCTGCGGCGCGGACCGGAGGAGCCATCTTGTCTCGTCGCCGGGGAATCAGGCCCCTAACTTGAAGAAGCCCTGGCGCGCCCTCCCCCCCTCCCCGGTCTGGTAGGGCGAAGGAGCGGGCGCGCGGTCGATCGAGCGATCGGTTGGCGGCTCTTTCTCCTGCTCTGGCATCCAGCTCTTGGGGCGCAGGCCCGGCCGCCGCGGCGCGCGCCCGGTGGCCGTTGGCGCTCGCGCCGCGTCTTTCTTCTCGTACGCAGAACTCGGGCGGCGGCCTATGCGTTTGCGATTCGACGAGGAGTCGTCCGGGTGGTCGGTGGCGGTGGGCAACTGCTCCGCCCCGCTCCCGGGGAGGCGGCGGCGGCGGGATTTGGTGCGGCCGGGGAGGCGGGGGTGGCCGGGTCCGGCCTGGAGGCCTGGCGCCACCCTTCGGGGCCTGCAAGGACCCAGTTGGAGGGACAGGAGGGGGCAGGGGGATGGTTGGTGGTGGGCTTTCTACTTTGCCTTTTCCTCCTTATGCCGCCTTAGGGAGGGGCGGGAGCTCTGGAGGCAGCTCCGGGGTCGGGAGACAAGCTCCGGAGTTGGAAGAGCTGGGTTTGCTTCTGGGCCTAGCCACCAGCTGGCCGAGTGATCTTAGGCAAGTCACTCTGTAATTTGTCTGCGCCTCAGTTTCCTCCCCTGCCTATTGATGTTTGTGGGATTAAAAACGCTTTGTAAACTATAAAGCGTCAGTGTATGTAAGGAATTATTGTTTGTAATTTTTTTTTTTGAGTTGTAAGAAAACTTAGCAATTGCCCGATCCTTGGATTTTCAACCTTCGATAGGAGTTGGAGATCCGCAAACTCCCTGAAATTGTATGCGGGAATGTACATTTTAGGGGAATCAGGATCAACTGCCAGCAAGTTTTCAGAGGGAGCTGTCACCCCCAAGAGTTAAGAACCATGATTTCTTTATGCCACAGGGAGGAAACTGAGGCTTGGATGTCATTTGGGACCCATCACAACCAATTTGAAGCCCCTATTTGAATCCCTGGGATATGTGAGTTGTTTCTCTGCATAATGGTTATTTGGGGTAACAACACTCCACTGCTTGGCTTCTATTCTGAGTCCTTTCGTTTCCCTGAGGGTTGCCTGAAGGGTGGCTGATGTATATGGCGCAGTGGTACCCCATATAAAGCAGCTAAGACTAAGAGCAGATATGTTCTCTAGTATCAAGAAGCCTATTAATCTTTGGCCTAATAATTTTGTTTTCTGCTGCTTATACTGGTGCCCGACAACCTTTCTGACTCTTTAGTTGACCATTTCACGACCGTGTTTGCCACCTGTTATTTGCTCCTATTTTATATCTCTAGTCTGTGTGGTTGGTAGTGAGCAGGCTTATTTTTAAATGGTGCTGCCAGGTCTAGCTAATTAATGGTTCAGGTGGATTTTTAGCAAACTGGCTCACTGGAACAGACTGAACCAGGCATGGAATTCCTGAAGATGTTGGGGGTTTGTCTTTATTAATTGAAGGTTAACATTCTCTGAAAAGTTTTTAGAACTTCTACTGAACCTCAAAATCAGAGTTGGAAGTGTTTCAAAGCGTAACTTTTTCCTGGACTGCTTTGTATTCTATCTGCTTGCAAGTGTGTTACTAAGATGGCCAAAATATCAGTTTTTGCTTCTTTGTTAATTGTCAGCTGCTGTTATCAAATTCCAGGCCATTATCCAGCAAACACTATAGAAATATTTGAACAGTTGGATTTCAAACATTTTCGTTTTGTGGCGTGATGGTTACCGGTGGTACAGTTCTAAGCAAGTGAACACACACGTTCGAGTGTATTTTGTCTGGTTAGGTGTTGCTTGGTTCTGCTATTTCATACAGATGTCTGAAAAAAAGAAAAAAAAAATCAGTCGACTGTTCTCTTTATCTAAAGGGCAGAGAGAGATTATCTCAATTCCAGAAAAATGACTGTTTTGGAGAAAATGTGTTGGTCTTTTAGGTCTTTTGTAATTAAATCTGGATGTACCTCAAAAGAACATTAAGACTGTGGTGATAGGTGCTTTCTGCAGCAGAAAGGAGGGGGAAAAAAAACAACTGGAACTCAAAGCTTGAAATTCTGTGACAAAACATGAGAGTTTCACTACAGTGTTCTACACTAGCTGGAGCAGATATCTTTCAGTGTAGCCATGGTGTGGACTCCAGATTTCCAAGACCTGGACCTGGACTATGGAAGAGCTTATCAGGATGCGACAGGAGCTCTGGAGCTGGATATTTTTTATTTTTGAATTTTGGGACTGTTGTCTCTTTTCTCAAAGCAAAGTCGACGACTGAGCAAGCACTGCCACCAGCACTGTTACTGCGAATTCGAAGACCTGAGTTTCTGCCAGACCCTCGGTGCAAACTCTGTCAACACACCATCCAAAGTGAACCACGGTACTTGCCATTTTCCAAAATTCCTTATTCTTTACCATCTCTGCACTTCTGTTCATGCTCTCCTCTCTACCCTGGAATGCCTTCCTCTGGTTCTTCACCTGTCAAAACTGCCATTTTCTCAATATCCAAATAAGATACTCTCTTCTCCGTAGATCTCAATTTTAGCCAGAAATAATATTTTTAAATTTTCATTATATACTTTTAACTATTTTTGTATAGGATACCTCATAAAGTCATTATTTGCATGCTCTTTTATTTGCTGTCTTGCAGATAGCAAGCCCCTTGAAAGCAAGGGCCTTGTTTTTTGTATCTTTGCCCACACAGTACTACCACATACGATGAATCACTTAACGAAAAGGAATTTCGAGAGCAAGCTGTCTCAGTATAAGCATTTAGTAAGTGTTTGCTTAATTACTGTGTGATGACTTGGTTACTCTTGATTAGGGGGAAAAAATCACTAGTAATAGGCCATGATTTCTTCCTTTATTTAATGCTTTTACTATATTTAAATTCTAAATTCAAAAAGATTTAGGGAGCCCTCAAACATAATGAGAAACTTATATGTTGCATAATGTATTACAGAAGGGTGCCAGGACCAGGGCCTTATTCTCTAGGTTCCTTATTCTCCACCATTTAATATGGACCTTTGTTAAAATGAAAGGACAGCTTTTGAAAGTACAAGGTCATAAGACAGTTTGAGGAAGACATTGGAAAGGGAAGAAGGGCAATACCTCCTTTACCTTGGTGTTGGTATGTAAACTTCAGCTCTCTTGCCTCCTCCTGTGGAGCCACTTTCTTCCCTGCCAACCACACTGCCTGAATGCAATCAAATTCCTCCCCCAAAGTATGAGAGACTTAGGGCAGTGCCTGTTTGCTGCTTCCCTGAGACAGTTTGTTCTCAAGAGTTAGGAAACAGTCTTTGCCAGAGAACTTTCTATTCTTACCATCACTGATTGTTAATCATAAGGCTTTGTTTCCCTTTATCATCTGTCATCTTCTCTGCCAGGCTTGTCAAGAATTAGTACCCGTCAGACAGCTGATGTACGGACCGCAGACCCACCCCAGTTTTAGAGTCCTCTTTGTAATTCCATGCATTTGTTGTCTGTTTTGTCCCTATCCTTTTCAGTCCTGTGCCTCCTGATTGCTGAGTGTTCACCTGGACCTTCCAACTACCTTCCTTGTGCTGTCCCATCAGCCTACAGATCTGGTACCTGGATTTTTGCCCATGGTGATTCCTATCACTTAACTACTGAAGAAGACACCATTCCAGTGGACCACTGTGACTCAAGAGGCATTCAGCCATCATATCTTGGCCTTCACCTCTATTCTTGTCCTTTTCTACACAGAATGAGCACCACCCTTTATAGTGAAGTCAAAGGCCCAGTTTGTTCCAAGAGTGTGCATTTTGTTTCTTCAGTTAAAGCCTTCAGAGACAAATAATAAATTTGGACCAGGGGATTTTTAGTTAACAACACTGTCTGAAGAACGGCAACATCATTTCGAGAACAACATTGAACCACACCCCACAATCTCAAATGTTTGAAGTTCATGAAGTGTCTAGGATCCCATCCAGGTCACTGGACCTTACTCTCTCTCTACTTCAAATCTATAGTAGCTGCTGAATGAGAAAACAGAAATTCTGACCCATCGGATTAAAACAAAGGCACAGCAAAGTCCTCGTAGCATCTTTGGGATTACGCGAGGACCAGAACTTTTAACACAAATGTAAGAAATTTTACCAAGGAATCCCTTTACTTAACAGCATCTCATAAAGCTCCAATCAGGTTCCAGAAAAGGCCTCTTAAGACATCCAGGTAGAACCTATATGGTAATTCCTTATGTTTATATTGCACTTTACAGTTTCAAAGCACTTTTACATGCATTAATCTCAGTGATCAAAATAACAGTAAATTATCCCCTTTTACAAATGAAATGATAATGTTATCCAAGGTAGCAGAACTACAAAGTGGAAGAAGCCAGGCCTTCTGACTCACAGTCCAGTTCTCTCCTCAGAATTAATTTAGCCTCTACTTTACCTGCAGTGTTAAAATAAGTAGAGACTGGGAACCCCAGGAAAATTTTCCAACTTCCTGATCTGGTGCCTGCAGTCAGGATTTTATAAGTATAATGTTGTGATAGCTGTACCTAGACCAGAATTCCATGGTGACACCCCTAAGGTTTAGGGGCAGACTGTCTCCATGGTGGTAGATTGTCTAGTCAACAAGGCACATGTTCATCTGACAGCAAGACCGCCCAACATGAAACAAAACTACTTTTAGATCTTTTGTCCATCTTCATGGCCTTCCCAAAGATGGCTTGTTTGGGGATCCCTGTTCATATCATGTCCTCGTGTGTATTTTTTAAGGCTTATTAATACTCTAGAACACCCAAGGTCTTAGCTATGGTCCTTTATCCCCAAAATAATACTTATACAAAATGAGCCATCTTTTTTTTAGAGTAGTACTGTTCACGTGTGTGTGTGTGTTTATATATGTGACATATACATATATACATCATAGAGCTTTTGTAGTTCAATAAGGCGGTAAAAGTACTGTAAAATGTGTCCCTCCCTGATTCATGACGCAGTTTAGTATATTGAAGGATCTCAAAAGGCTTGCAGCAAAAAAATACTCATTTAGCTGTTTAGCCCAGGATATTCTAAGTTTAATCAAGCACAGAAAGTTATTTTTGTAGCATTCTTTTTAATGGAATGGGGAGATTGCTTTAGAGCAGTATAGCCAGTGCTTTCTGAATCCCAACAGATTGCCCTAGAGGCCCAGGAATAAACTGCATCTTTGAAACTCCCCTTTTTCTTATCAACAACTGCTTTGAATTAGTATGTCTCCATCATCTGAGAGTCCTTTATCTTGACCATTACCTTTATTTTCTGCCAACGGAACCTCTAGAAGATTTGTGGGGATACGTGGGAGGGAAATGGGGGAAAGTTAATTCTGCCTCCAAGTTGGACGAATTGCATGACATTTAGTAACATATTTCTCTGTCCCTAGAATTGTGCTGTAAACTTAGTTCAAGAGCATAACATTTCAGGTGGGTGAGAAGATTGGGAAGGGATAAGAGGAAGAAGATGGAGAAAACAAGGAGGAGTGAGAAGGATATTTTCTTAGAATATGAGTTATTGCCCATTGAGATCATGCTCGAAGAGAAGTCATCCACTTGAAATAATACAAAAAGAGAATGCATTTTGCATCTGTATGCTGACTGCAAAAACCCTAGTACCCTTGTCACTTAAAACCAATTACTTGATAGTCACAAGCCCGATTTCAGACAATCAGAATTTATAGCAGATTTGAGTGTTAATTTCATAATTCTATAATGTGGCCCACCTTAGGGGATGAATGAATAGGAAAACACTTTGGATTACCAAAGGCTTTGCTCACACAATTTCTGGTTTCTGTGACCTATTTTTTGTATTTCAGCATTTTGTGAACAGCTTATTCTTAGATCATTGGTTTTCCAAAGGCTTTGTGGCCGTGAAGCCCTTTGAATGAAAACTGTGTGGAAGCCCAGAGTAAAAGTGAAGCTGCTCTGGATGAAGGAGGAGTAGGGGGCCTGAAACCTGCCACAAGCATCTTTCCCACCATGATGACACCTAAGGAGACTTTTTTTACAGCACCTAGAATTCTTCAGGACAGATTGAAAACCACTGCCCTAGACAACAAACAATATGTTCGACCTGAATGGCATTCTCATCTGTACCCAACACAGTCCATGTTCAGTTGGTCCTGAACATTCTTAGGAATAATTATTTTGAGCAAACTCAGAAAAGTGCAAGAAGATGGTTTATCTTTGCCACCCAGAGTAGTCATATGGGCCAAAAGTGGTATGAAATGGACCTAGATTAATAGCCCTCTACCCGCAGGTGGACTTCCAGTGACTCCTGGGACTGGATATAGACAGTAATTCATATGTACTCTACACTGACAAATCCCTTAACCCAACTTTCACAAACACCAAATGCTCTAGTGGTACTTGAAATATGTGACTTTGAGGTCTTCATCTTTGGATACCTGAATTGCCAGATGTTGAAGTTGATGCCTCATTGAGGCCATAATAGAACAGCTTGTACATTGGACCTCCATCATCAGCCATGGTACTCTACTTCATGTGCAAGGGATAACCATTAACTATGAAAGCAGAATTCAAATACTGGCAGCATTACCAAAAGGGTACCTGGTTTTCATTCATCTTATTATCAAACTACAAGTCACTATGACTCAACCAATGGCATTTATACTGCTGTTTGGTTTTATTCACTTTAACTGCTGTTTCTAGAATAAATGAGCTAATAACCTTTAAAAAGCTAAAACGATTCCTCCATCACTGGCATATTCTGCTCTAAAATTACCAATACTCAGCTCTAACTGCACGACGGTCCACAAGAAACAATCTTTGAACATCTTTTCTCATATGTGATTTGAAATACGGCTATTTGGAAAATTTTCTCTTAGCCAATTAGAATTTTTCATTCGAGGTGGGTCTTTTGATGTCTGGTTCCATCAACTAGGTGTTGGGGATATTTGGAGATAGGCCTGTTGACCAGGCCATGATAGCTGACTTGCTGGGAATCTCAAATTGTATATCATCTACCTTTTTGATGGAAATGTAGCCTGACTTGAAAAAAAAAATTCTACAAAGCCTCCAACTAAGGATTTTATCTGTAGACTCAAGAACTTTCTGCTGCTTCTCCCTGTGGTCACAAGACCACAGTCTCTTGTCCTTGTGGATGTGTTAATGGAATTCCATCTGTTTTACACTGATTCAGAGTGGCCGACCTCATTCCTTGCCATGTGATACTCCCAGGCGTTAAGACAGCTTAACTTGTTTCTGCAGGAAGGATTCAATTCGTGAACTTCAAGACCAGATCGAGTTGAATAAGTATGTCACGAGAAAATCTCATTTACTTCACAGTTAACTTAAGAGCCAGCTGTCTTCAACTACTTTAATGAATGTACTGATTAACTTGGCGATTTTTTTTATATAAATATATATATCTTTGTCCCTTCTAGACTAATTGTGATTACATGACTTGGTCTGCAAATCATCAAACAAGACCTAAGTCTGGTTGCTCTAGACTGCCCGCTCTCAACAAATCTGATGACTATCATGCTTATGTATACAACTATTATTTGTAAAGGAGAAACTATCTACAAATTCACTTTTCTACTACCTTCAAAATATTAGCTCAATTTTTTTTTCTTTCTCCTGTACAGAAAAACCCATTGATCTACACTGCCAGTCATTCCCTTTAATCCTGTCATACTCAGTCAAAATGAGGGGCTTAAGGCGAGGATGATCATCTTTCAAGAGTCTAATGAACACGGTGTCTTAAGAACTGACGGTTGGAAAAGCAAAAAGCCTAAAATTCAAACCTGTTACTATTTCTATGCCTCAGATCTCATCTAAGTCTTTCCACCAACACCATTCAACCAATTTGAGGCCTTGACTTGTTTATAATTCTCAGAGATGGGCTGAGTACAGAAGATGAAGACTTGATTGCCAAAGAAAGTAGGGCCAACCTTGATGAACCTGGCTCTCCCAACCCTATCACTCCTAGATATAGCATAGACTCTTCAACAGACTCTCAAGTCTGGATTAAGGATATAGCCTTCTCCTGAGCTGAAAGTTATTGGGCAGATGAGCAGGAAATTGAAAGCTGCTGTATCTGACTGGCTAGTTAAGATCAAGAAGTTGTATCCAGAGTAAACTCTGGATTAACCCTGGAATACTCGGGTTGTTCTTCCATATTGTGTCGTGCTTATTGGTATGGCTGGCCCTACTGAAGGTACCCTACTTGCCTATTTACCTGACTCGGCCCTTGCCTGCCTTTTTTGACAAGCTGCTGCAATCACACTTGTGCTTGAGAAGACTACAACTGATTTCAGCCTGTCTTATGCCCAGTTCCACCAAGGAGTTTCGAACAGAAGTAACCTGTACTTCACCCTACCAGGACTTAATGTTCTCAGCAGTAGGACTATGCTGTATACTCTTTGACCAGCAGCAGCTTTTTTTTCCCTCTTTTTTTAAGTGCTGAATAAGCCTCTATGCCTATATATATTTGATCATCTTCAGCACCTGGGACCCTTTCTACTGGATCTGAAGTACAGCAGATTAAAAGTACTGTCCCTTCCTCTCTTCTGCAGTAATAACAGAGGTGAGTCTGAGCCACCAGTACAGAAATGAGAAATGTACCAGTTCAACTTGGCAAAGGACTTAAAGGAACACAAGAAAAGTTTTCCACTGAACTTAAAATTTACCACTGACTTGAATTGCCTCACAACTACGTGCCAGCAGAAGGCTAGTTGTCCTGCTTCATGTCAGCTAGACGGTTGAGCTCTCAGACTCATGACCACTGAGTTTGCTTATATTGAAACTCCATTGTATCATTTAAAGAATGCTATCGGACATGATTATTCCATTTGAATGGATTATAAGCTTCCTGAGTACTGGACATACTCCTCGTGATGCTTTTTCAGAGTACTTTTATTATCAAGAAAGTAACAGTGCCAGCTGTTACCATTCGATTTTTTGAGCAGAGACTAAACTTTCAACATCTGGTCTTATCATTGACAGCAGTTGTTTTTGATTGGCCAGCATTCATTCCATGCTCCCTGATCTTGGAACTACATCTCCCTATTTTTAGTCCACGTGGTTCAGACAGTCTGACATGTTTCATGTGTGGACATGTGGTTTAAACCTGATGGATCAACATACTTCCATCTCTTTGACCATAGTAATTGGTTCACAAATGGTTGTGTGATTCACATTGGTCCAGTGATACTCAATTCAACCTTGGGAGTTTAACTGAACTATGGAAGAGAAGAAGCTCAAACTATACTGAGTTTGCTTAGCTTTGTAGGATGAAAAAGCTCAACCAGCAGAGTCCACCATATTAAATGAGCCAGTCAGAGAATGAAGCCAGTGCAGAGGAAAGCGGAGCCAAATGATGGAGAGACTTGAGTGCTGGTGACAATGTTTGTGCCCCTGGATCCACCTGTGCCTGAAGCTAGATATATCCTCTGGACTTTTCAGTTTTGTGAACCAATAAAACCCTTTTTTGTTTAAGTTACTTTGAGTCGGGTTTCTGTTGCTTGAAATTGAGTCCTAATATACTATCTACCAATCTTGAAAGTTGACAGATCCAAGTATTTATTAAGCTAGAAGTCATAGCCACACAAATTATTTCCCAAACTTGAAGACAGAGCAAAACAGGAACTGGCAATGATTAAGATGGAAGCATAAAAATTAATTACATAGTAGAAAAATATAGAAGAAAACATGGATGTTTATCAGTAAAGAATTGGTTAAATAACACATAGTTTAGCCATATAAGAAAATCTACATGTCTGTTAAAATGAATGAGGTACATTTATTGTACATGGACATGGGAAAAAAAGGCCATGATATGGTAAACAAACTATTGATAGCAAAATGTATGTGCTAATTTTAAAATTTGTTTATAAAGCATAGAAAAGTCTATTAATGGCTTTCTTTGAGCAGTGTAGATTATATGAGACTTTCAACTTGACACATTTCTGTATATGAATATTTTACACTAACATTAAGTTTTATTTAAAAATAAAAAATTTTTCAATTTAGTGCTTACTGTTTGACCTTGACAAGTTACTTAACACTGAGCCTGTTTCATCAAATAATTTAAAATATCCACCTTTTATCTTTGTGACAATTTCAATAAATATATTCATCATCCATTATTCAAACCCACAGATCGCTGCACCTTTACTTGTTTAAGAAACTCTGAACTCAGTAATTGTTAATTGTTCAAGCAAACTTCTTTTAAAATGTTTGCATTTTTAAAATCAGAACTTCATAGTTCCAGTCATCAAAAAAGTATTTCAGTTCTCAGCTGAATGTTAACCTATTAAGACCTCTTGCAGTTTTCACAGTAGGCAGAGAGGAAGAAAAAGATCTATTTTCTTTGAAATCTGGGTATTCTGATTTCACTGCCATTAAGAGCATTAGTGACCTTTTCATTGCTAAGTCCATGACAAATACATCTTACAACTTTCAGCAGCACCACGAGGACTCCCACCAGCATCTTGATACACTTCGCATTC